TTTTCCATCTTCTCTCCAAGTTAACTGTTCTTTGAACTCCTCAAGCACGGTTGTTTGATCACCTTCAGGTCGATCCTTGAGCCCCAGAACATCTAAACTACAAAGTTCCATGTAGTCTTCGTGTGTGCTTCTCGTTAGCATTAAATATGAGTGATTCATTTCCCGTCCCTGCGACATGATTGTCCACCCGAGTCTCGTTCTCTCAGCCACTGGTTTTCCATCATCTCCAACTTTAGCAGGTGTGGTTGTTTTGACTCGTGAATAATCACTGGCACCCAGTATCATGTGAACTGGCAACATTGGCTTCGTGTCAACATCGTCCATCTCTATGCCTTCAAGGTGTGAATTACTGGAAATAACTTCTCTATAACGTGGATTTTGCAAGGTCAGTAGCACTGGTCGATCAACGCAATTCACTTCAGACGACATGCTAAAGTTTTTATTAATGTTTGTGATTTCAACATTGTAAACATCAATCGTCTTCGTAGTTGTAGGCAACATCATCTCTATGGTTTTGATAGATCAACGTAGAAGATACATAAGAATTTCCTGAACCAGTGTCCAGTAACGCTCGACATTTTACTCCCTCTACTTCAACAACTACTACAGGATATATCACGTTGGATTGGTTCGGTTGGCACATTGTAGGGCTTGGTTCAGCTTTGTCACAAATGGATGTATGATGTTTACGTTGGCACTTGTAACATTGGGTATTACTTTTGCACTCTCTTGCTCTATGTTTTTCTCCCGTACAGTTGAAACACCGTCTCTTTATGCTTAGTATTCTCTTTCGCTGTCCGACATCGACAATTTTGGTACATTCCACTGATCTATGGTCATTTTCACAATACACACATTGACGTTGCTTTACGTGATCTCTTGTTGCAAATTGATTGTCTCTTTGCTTAAATTTTGGATGTTGGCCGCCGTCTTTATCTCCAGGTTGCAGGGGATTGCGCTCGACCCATTGACGTAAAGCTTCGACAAGTTCCGTAAAGGTCCATTTCTTCCAGTCTTTTTCAGTTCTAATTAGATCAGCTCGGATACCCACTAATTTGTCCAAGGTCATTCGCACATTACCGGCAACCTGTTCCAACTTCCCCAGTGTTTCCAACGCTTGAACATGTCCCAAAAGGTTATCGTAAAAATTGTGTATCTTGGGTCTTGAAATTCCAGTAATAATTGGCAATGACATTATTTCCTGAATATGGGCATTCACTACTTCACTAGAGTCACCATATCTTTGTTCTAAGAATTCTTTGGCTTTCTTATACCCTAAACCGTCAGCTGGTAATTTCTCAATTGTTGCACGTACCTTGGGTATGACAAGTTCCTTCAAATACGAAAATTTAGCTTCATCTGGAATGGATGTTTGATCAATTTGAGTTGAAAAAAGACTCCAAAATCTTACCCAGTCAAGATATGTTCCTTGGAACTTGGATATTTGCAAATCTGGTAATTTCGGTTTCACGCGTTTCTTTTCTGCTATTTCCAATTTCTTTTCCTCAAGTTGTAAAGCGAATTTCTCCTCACGAATTCTTTTATTGTTCTCAGCTTCCTGTTCTTCTTGCCTCATCCAGTCTCGAATAATAGATTCCTCGTTTAGCTTGTCGTTACGAGCCTTTTCCTTGCGTATACTTTCGTCATGTTTTAGCCTTTCGTCGAGCTTTTCGACGCATTTTCATAGGGTTGCACTTGTAATTTCCTTTCCTGAGTCCATTGATCGATTGCTTCGTCGCTCTCGTCGGAATCTAACTTTAAACCTTGTATAGTTTGTATTAAATCGTACGCTTCGTCCAGTTTGGTTTTAAGCAAAGTATATTGTCTGTTTATTTTGTCACTTCCGTACTCACTTTCTAGAGCATCAGCCGTAGATCGGTTAAAATAAGCGAGCTTTCTCAACAACGATTTTGAAATTGGCTTCTGTTGACTCGACGTCGTTTTGTGCGATGGTTTGTTCTCCTTGTGCTCCGACGTCATTTCGCGATTGCCGTGTTAACATCTCGATCTCTGTATTTGTTTACATATACCACGTAATTTTGCTCTAACTCGATTGTTGTGTAAAATATCCCGTTTTACGTTTGTCACAATATCCCGTTTATTGAGTTAATCCCGTCTGGAGGTGCCCTTTGTGGTAGATTTTCGTTCGATCCCCACAATAAGAGCAAAATTACGCGTTTTTCTTGTGTTTTGTATTATAATCCCTTCCCAAATCGCTCCCAGTTACATATATTCCCCATGCAATAACAATTAACAACATTCCTTTCATCTCATGCCTGTCAATCAATTCCATATATGGTAGTCACCTCATCTCTAAATTTAACTACTAATTATTAATGTCAACCTTATTCCCGACAAATATAATGAAAAAGGGAATCAATATTAAAGATACACTGAAGTTATATGCTGTCTTGTTTTATAGTTGTTTCATATACGCAAAGGCCGTCGGGTTTTAAACCATTATAAAATCAATATTTAAAACAAACTTACCTTCGTTAACTTCGGCTCCTTTCTTTTAGCCGATTCTTTCGCCCTTTCTTTATGAGAAAACATTTGAAATTTACAAAATCTTGCAAAAATGCAAGCAAAAAATTCATCAATCATCAAATCAAGAAATGTTTGCTATTTCGCTGTCGTCATGCAGTCGTTATAATGCAAATTTTAAATTGGACCAATCAGTGTCCGCTATTCATGACAGTCCGCCATATATTTGAGATCAGTGAGGATGACCACCCACGATTGGTCACCCACGCCCGCGATATTTGATGAGCTTTAGACTCCGCTAATGCTTACGTTTCCCCGGGTGTAAATAGCCGGGGGGAATTAGTACCCTCGCACGGCGCTTCGCGCCGTCGGCTCGGGCATAAAAACATAACAATTCAAAGATGATGTCACAGGGCCACGTCATTGATGACACCTGTTCTAAAGTGTGCAGTATTAAAATTTCCTTAGAATAGGCCCTGAGCACCGGGGCACGAGATATCAATCAAATTACATGCATTCGCACTCCATGTGGTTTCCTATATAATAAATATTTATGTTCAGCGAAAATTTCATCCATTTCGGGTGTTAAATCTCGAAGCAACCAAATGTTTTCATATACGCGCTTACATGTAAACAATACTAAACTATAACAAACAGCTCGCAAAATGTCCCAACAAACTCGCCATATTTTAATACTTCAAGGCCTTTGATTCGGATGAAATCCCGTACAGATATCAGAAAATACCCGGTAATTGATCACAACTTGTAAAATTGAACGATTCTTTAATATTTTTGCAGAAATTCAACAAATTATGCAAACGTAATTTTCCTAATAAAATTATTTAAACAATTAAAACTCCTAATATAAAATAGTATATGGGAAATGGCACTGGCCACGCGCTCCCCCCAATGTGTTTGCAGCCCCTGAGCCTGCGGCAAATTAAATGATAAAACAAGTCTAAACTACATAAAAACAATATTTTATTACAAAAATTCAAGGAAATTCGACTACAATATTATTAGACTACTATAGCTGACTATATTTCTTAATCACCAGTTATGTCAAAGAGGAACACAGCATTCTCTCATAGTAAGTTCAAAACTTTTCTGCAAGAAAAAAGAAAATAAAGGTAATGGGCTGCATTTTGCTTAGTTATTCGGTACTTTTTGGAAAACCGACGCCGAGCAAACTTTTGTAATAAATGAAGAATGAAGTTTCGCCAAAGCCGAAATTTTGTTTAATACTGAATGAAATGAAATGAATAATATCACAGAACGCAAGTAAATGCTGTTTTGTTTACAACTATTACTGGAAATAGGGCCAAAATGCAATTTTTTTTTAAAATAGATTTGTTTAATTATGGTATATGCTTAAGCAATTATTCACCTCAACGTCGGTGATGTTGTATAATCATAAAATGTGTCAAAAACTTAGCATACGAAATTTAAATGCGTGACTGATCGAATTCAAAGCCATTGAAAACCACAGATTTTGAAGAATGCAATCAAAATATCACTATATATTTTTGAATTGTGAAGCGAATTGGCAACGCCTTTCCTTTTTTGTATTTTTAGTAAATTGCAAGGAGTTGGGTCAGCAATGAACAAAACATTAAAATAATTAATAAAATTAAGAAATCGGCAAAAAGTCAGCAACGGAAAATTTTTCTGCTATATGTACAAGATCTCGGCATTCTAATTTTGAAACAAAATGAAATAATAAATTTGGTATTGTGCATGAATATCTGCGCATCCTTCAATACTATGAATGTCCAGCTTGTTGTTAAAGAACAGAAAACCAAAATGAATGCAGTTTTCCAAAATAGTAAATTTGGAAAGACATGATATATAGAGCGTTTGGACTTGAGGTCACAGTCGCCGTATTGGTGTTCCAATTCAAAATAATTGTCTGGAACACCGACATGGCCACCATGGCCATTGTTGAGTTGGTCCCTGGGAATTAATAATTGCAAACGCAAAGAAGTTGGCGAATGCCAGTCAGTATTATTTGAACTAAAACCTGCATGAACAGTGAAACATTTTTCCTCACCCTGTTTCAATGCGAGGTATATTTTCGGAATTTTCGCTATTGCCATAGTTTCATCAAAAGCGAGCTAAACAAAACAGCAAGCTTCATATATCACTGGAAACACATTATGCAAGATGCAATTACTAACCGTATTTGCAAATATAATAGGAAGCCGCTTTGCAATTCTTCGCTGTCCATTTCCCATTCTTGCCATACGGCATTTCAACACATCCTGTATTCAACAATTTTCTACCAAAATTATGATAGAATACTGTGCCAAAACTTTGGTTGCATAGCTTCCCTGCAGCACACACGCGGGCATTCAACCAGAATGACCTTCTTAATGGTTGCACAAATTTCTCGTAAATAAATTGATTTTCATCCTGGTTTTCTGCTAACACAAAATTATCCCCTGGCCGGCATCTAGCGACAATCCATGGACGCCTGCCCATCCTCTTGTAGCAAAGATTGTCACGGGAGATATATCCAGATTTGCACTCTTTAAACAGAATGGAAGAAAGAAAATATTTATAATACTGGAAACCAGAAAAAACCTACACAGTTTAAGAAAAAAAAATTCCAAAGCAAAAGCGAGCAATGAGAGGCAAAAATATAATATTTGCTTGCTAGGTTGGTTATTATAATTGATAAGCAGGTGGTGGTAAGATAAGAATTAGCACACGAAGGAAATGGCGAGAATGTCCCTAGGGTGCGGAATGATCAAGCAGATGGCTGAAAAAGGGGTCATTTATAGTACATATTTTCATGCGGTTCACATCAGTCGCATTCAGTCTACAGCCAAGTGAACACCACTTTGTGAAGATATCAAAATTTATTAATCACCCACTTCCTCCCCATGTCTGCATCTGTCATTATTTTTAATGTTTATTGCCTATTTTGTAAGTAATGACGTAATTTTGCCCTCACCTTTCCTGGGCAGAACTGTTTAAGAACATTTTAATGCGATATATTATCTGAATCCTAATCTTTGAAAGTTTAATATTAATAAAACGGCTGGGGGGAATCGTTACCCCCAGCCAGATAAACCCAACTACGTGGTGAATGTCTTGTTTTGTGTCCATTAGTAATACTTTGCCCAGCAAACAGAGTGCAGGAAATGCAACACTCAAGTCTAAACGCCAGGAAAATACTATTTTTAATTAATCTTTAATATTCGCTAGTTTAGAGGAAAGGCTTAAAACTACATTTTCACCTCCATCCATATGATGTCGAACACTTTTCAGCATTTCGTGAACCAAAATATGAACTAAATACTGAATGTCATAAACATACTCGTTAATCTTAATTCAGAATCGACCGATACTAGTTCTGCAAGAAAATAAAGTGCAAAACCAAAAGCGAACATTCACATTGAGAGGCAAAAAACTACATCCTCTGCTTAATTTCATAAACATGCATACTCGTGCAGGGGAATCCACTAGGGATACTAGTTTTGCAAGTGTTATGTTATGTTGTGGTATTGTTCACTCTTTAATATATAAGGAGGAAATGTTCTCGATTGGGATATTTTTTGCCTGAATGCAGACCTTCGTTTTGCTCGTCCTAAAATTCGGGGGTTGGATGCGCAAAACGTAAAAATTGTAAAAATGATTGCACTATATAGGCCTATATTACAACGGAATGACACAACGCTAAAGTATTTGACAAATCTGCTGTACTTCCGCTCTATTTTTAATTTTTTGACAGTAGAGACTGTTTTTCTCGTTGTTCTTCACAAAATATTTAGAATATTGCACTACAGGGTGTATAAAAAAACTGAACAGATTTGAAATTGCTCTCAATTTTGCAAAACACCTATTTATATGCTATTTTTTATATATATAGCTTCTTTGGGTACTTATAATGTAGAATAATAAAAAAATTCTCGAACTCAAATTTTGTGAACCAGCTGGGAGGGGGGGGGGTGTGTTTTTTCCAATTAACAAGGCAAAAATTGAAAACTTGTAATTATATTTTGAGTTGATAGATGGACAATTTGTTGGACTGTCCAAAATTTTAGACAATTTGGTTTAGCTTAAGCCCTTTAACTATTCATTGTATTCTAAAAAATCAGCCTTTTGCATGCTTACAGTAATTAATGCCTTTACCTAATTTGCATATTGCTGACATATATATATATATATATATATATATATATATATATATATATATATATATATATATATATATATATATATATATATATATACGAGTAGGTTTGTGTATACGAAACGCAAAGAGTGCTCAATATCATAAAGATAGAGAAAATGTACAATTTCGCTTACCTCAAAATTCCGCAACAGTCTGTTTCATCAGTAAAGAATCATCAGGCGCCTGATGATTCTTTACTGATGAAACAAACTGTTGCGGAATTTTGAGGTAAGTGAAATTATATATATATATATATATATATATATATATATATATATATATATATATATATATATATATATAT